AGCAGTGCAGCCTGTGGCAGTCACTTGCTCTCTGCCCAGGGTGGGGGTAGCTGCCGAGCCTGAAGTCAGAGGTGAAGTCCAAGGGCTGGTGGTGCCCTCGTTTAAGTTCAAGGGACGTTACACACTGCGGCTTGCTCCCTGGCCCCCTCCTCTGAGCACATTGTTAGCTACCTGATTGGTGTTTTATTCTACTTTGACATGTTGATCAGGGTAGAAGTTCTCAGCCCATTTACACAGAGTGAACAAGGGAAGAACCAAGGAAATCTGTCACTTGATACCCAGCTCTTATATTCAGGAAACAGAACCTGGAAGCTCTCCTTGTCAATGTACCTCCCTTGCCCAGGACCAGAATCTGCACAGCCGACGACCCCCGCTCCGGCGCTGGCCCCGCTGTGACTCATGGTCTGAGCCCCACCTGCCAGCGAGCCTGCCGCCCAGGAGGAGAGCTGCCAGGCAAGAAGGGCAGTCTCAGAGGGAGACTTGACAGGAGTTGACTGATGGGCTACAGGAACTAAAAAAAGCTGGGAGGTGCTAGCCTGGGGGGTGGGGGTGGGGGATAGAAGCTTGGGAAGGGGGCTGTGCATGAGGAACGGAGGAGGGCACGTTGGTCTTGGGCAGGACGCCATGGGTCAGGTGTCCCAAGGCAGTGGCCTGGTTCTGGGGGGCCCTAGGGGACAGGCGAGGGTCAGAGGCAGTGAGAGGGAGTCTGCTTCCCGCAGCAAGTCCAGATCTCCATCATGCCAAGCCCAGAGTATGAGACAGCCCCTCCAACTGGTCTCTGCCCAGTGTTTTCTGTCCCATTCCATTCTGTTCACTGGCGTTTCACCCTGGCTCTGCCTTCTTGGGAATGGTGAGCGGGCCTGGAAGTCATGACCGCTGCGCCTCAGCCCCACCTTTGAGAATTTCATGGGTAGAAAAAGCCTTGAGGATTGCAGTGTCCAGCCTTCAGTTGCTGTTAGAAATTCCTGACAAATGGCTTCCTGGCCCTCCAGGGATGGTGCCCGAGGCTCCCCTCCACTGCACCCCTACCCCATGCAGCCACTTCACAGCTAAGCCATGCCGGGGCTTGGAAGTCTTCCCCTCCCTGCAGTGGAGTCTGCCCCCATCTAATCTTCACCTCTCGGCCCAGGTTCTGCCAGCTGGAACTTGAGGAAGCCGTGCCCTCTGCTCCAAGCCACTGAGCGACTTCTCAGCCCTTCTCGCCTCCTCATCTCCACTGCAGTTTGTCAGTGAGTTTCTTCAAAGGCTTTATCGAGATGGGAGCCTAGAGACATAAAGTCTTTATACTGGAATGGGACTTTCGAACTCAGGAACCCGCCTCATTTTATAGATGAGGAAGATGAGGTTAGGTCATTGGCCCAAGGCCACACACACAGCACAGAACAAGACAGGGCTGGGCCTCAAATGCACTGAGCGGTGACCAGCCCGCAGTGGAGGGAGGCCATTTTGGTTGTTGATGCCATACTTCTGATCTTGTCCAAGATCACATTCGCTTTTTGGGGAGGGCAGCCCTGTCTCCCCATGGATGTGTTGAATTCTGTGGCAGCGAAACCCCCCTAAACTATTTTACAACTTTATCTTCTTCTGGTTGTAAACATAAGATATGCTTATTGTAAAAAAAAAAAAAACATTAGAAAATACATAACAAGGTAAGGTATAAACCTTATAAAATAAGGTATAGCACTTCCGGTTGTTAGAAAGTTTTCCCACCCCGCACTTGCCTGCTTTGTTTTCAGCTATGACAACAGGACTCTGCTTTCATCCTCAGGGAGGCTGTCTCCCTGGGCCCCGGCCAGCTCTCCTGTCAGAATCTCGCCTTATCAGTTCTTACTGGCACCTGGGCAGGGTTCAAACCTGCCTGTGGTGTGCTGGGGGTGAAGCAAGCATCCAGATTGCTGATGGAACTAGAGACCCTCTGTCCACCCCACGGCCCACGCCTCTTCCCTGCTGGGTGAGAGCCCACCCTTCCCTCCCCGCAAGCCCCTGCACCCCTTTGTCCTATGGAGATACCCGTTTTTCCAGCCCAACTGGGTCTCCACTTCTTCCAAGAAGTCTTTACTCTTTCGGATGCGAAAGACTCTTTTTTGGGTTCCCCAGCACTTGTGGTCTGGCCACAAGTGTGTCTCTGGTTATACATTGACTCCCACTCATCTCTTCTCCCTGCCTGGCTCGGGACTGTTTCCCAGTCAGTGGAGGCACCTACTTTTCCTTTTTCTCTCTTGACATCCATGCTCCAGAGTCTGGAGGTCATTATGGGCCCTTGAAATGGGACTGTCTGGCCCGATACTGCTAGAGAAGGGCTCATGTGAGAGGTGTCCCACCCTCGAGTTCTTCAAAGGAGTGGGAGAGAAAGTACAGGCTTGCAGGGGGCCCCAGGAACATCCCCCCACCCCCATTCCTGGCTTCCTAGAAGCTTGTCCCCAGCTCCTCCTGAAGTTGACACAGCAGTTAATCATCTGGCTTCCCAACACTGGGTTCTCACTTATTTTGGGATAGTAAAAACGGAGTTTGGTTGGCTTTTCATGTTTGGAGGCTTCTAGAGATACAGTTCCTCTGTGCTTGGCTATTGAAAGAGCCACAGGATGGGGCACCTGGGTGGCTCCGTCGGTTAAGCATCTGACTTTGGCTCAGGTCATGATCTTGCAGTTCATGGGTTTGAGCCCTGCGTCAGGCTCTGCTGACGGCCAGCTCAGAGCCTGGAGCCTGTTTCAGATTCTGTGTCTCCCTCTCTCTCTGACCCTCCCCTGCTCACGCTGTCTCTCTCTCAGAAATAAATAAAACATTAAAAAAAATAAAAATTAAAAAAAAAGAAAGAGCCACAAAGAGGGTTAGGGGCCCTTTCCAACCCTCTGGGCTTCTCACAGGGAGCCTGACAGGTCAGACCCATGTTTTCCATGAGCTACCCCTTTCCCCACCTCCTGGAATATCACGTCAAAGGCCCAGGCCTGGCAGCCACCTGCTCCGTGTCCATCTGGCAGGGACAGGATGGAAGAACACTGAACTGGGACTCTGGGACCAGGGTCCCCAGAGTGATCAGGTCTCCGCAAGGGATCCTGGGTAGGTGATGGGAAGGGCCACTTAATCGCAAAGCTCTGGTCCAGTTTGGATCGCCCAGAGGTGCAGGCTGCCTCCTGGTCTTCATAGCCACGAGGTGCACAGTGCTCCCGAGCACAGCCCCTGAGCCAGGCCGTCTGCTCCCAGCCCGCATCCACTACAGTTAGTCAGGAAACCCTGGGCCCACTGCCTACCTTCTCTGCCGGTGGGGAGAGCAGCACCTTCCGGACAGGGCCTGGAAGGCCGAGGGAGCTCATGTGCGTGAAACACGAGTGTGCCCAGCACAGAACAGGTGCTGTGCAAATGTGGCCGTCCCTATAGTTAGGTGTCTGACCCGGAAGTGATGTGACCTTTGCGCCCTGTCATTTGGGATCACGGTCTTCCTTCTGTGGTCCTGGCAGGGTGCTGGGAAGAGAAGCCGACACGGGACCCTGAGTGACTGCACTGGGCTGGCAGAGAGCCATGTCAGGATGTGGGAGTCAGGCAGGGGGCCCGGCTACTGCAGCCAAGAGCGGAGCCACAGCCCAGGGGTCACAGGCCTTGACTGCCGAGAGCACAGGCAGGCCACCTAATCTTTCCAGGCCAGATTCCTGCCCTGACTCGAGGCCTACTGGTAACCCTATAAGGGTAGATCTTTGACTAGAATGAGACAATTGTTTTGATTAATTTCCCTGCAGGTGGAAAAAGAGGTTTATGGGACAAAAAAGCAGAAACACAGAAGACAAGAATTCTTGGATTTTAATAGTTAGAGGGAAGGTTATAAAATAAAACAGACAACACAGAGCATTACGACTCCCTCAGATTGCAATAGCACAGGGACACAGAAATGAGACAAAACAGGGTTTCCAGATAATGTTCTCTCAAACGGTTTAACTTCCAGAATACAGCAGCCCCCAGACTAACCTAAACTTCAACCAGGAGTCTTCCATCTATACACTTTCAGAGGAAAGTCAGGTAAGCCTGCCCCGCCTTGGCAGCCATGGCTGGTTCTGCCTACGGTAAGGCTTCCCGGGGTGGCCCAGCTAGCCATGTCGCGTGGACCTCTTTCGACTTTGCCTTCTTGTTCTTTGGCAGGCTGGCTCCATCCCTGCCCCTCTCTCCCTTTTGACCCACACCCCTCTCCTGTTTTGAGCAGGAGACACAGCCAAGCCGACAGAGGCTGGCCGATGTCCTCAGACGGAGCCAAGCAGCCCAGGGACGCCTCTGTCCTTCCATGCTCAAGACCCAGCCTAGCCATCAGAAAGAGCCAGAAAGTCGGCTACAAACATAACTTGATAGCCATCTAATACTGTCTTCCTGAGAGGTTTCTGATGTGTCTGGTTATTATTCTGTTTTGTTGGTTTTTTTTTGTTTTTTTTGCTGCTGTTCTAGGGTTTTTCACTCAACCAGGAAAAAGGCAGGCCTGTAACTCAGCCCTGTAGTCTTTTTAGTGTCTCAAGACAGTGAACTTGGTGCATCAAAGACTCATCGCTTCCACTGGGCTTTCTCCTTGAGTTGCAGCTGGACAAACTCTTGGCCTTCGCAACAGTGAGTTGTTCCACAGAAGGTCTGTTAATTAGGAGGCAAGCAGGCTCTCGGTAACCCCCAGGCTTGCCCTGAAAGGATGTGAGAGAGGCAGGGCTGGGGGGGGGGAATGGGGTCGGAGGGGGGAGGCGCAGGGTGGGAAGAACCGGTGTGATGTGCTACCCCAGCCCAAGGGAAGTACAGAGAGCGCAGTGCGTCCCCCAGGCAGGGCCGGGGGAAAGTCTTAGGTTAAATATCTCAGGAGGTGCGAAGGGTGGGGGTGGCTCAGGACAGCCACCCCAGAACCAAGGCACAGAGGAGGTGTGAAATGTCCAGGATAAATAGAACTGCACGGAGAGGGAGAAAAGCCAGCTCCATCCTCTCTTAAAAATAGCCGCCATCGGCACCAAAAATATATTACTATCTGTACATTTGTCAGCTTTAAAAAAAAAAGGAAATAAAACTTCCTTGGCACCTTGTAGTGGATTTCCTAACAATGAGGTGATGTGTGAAAAGGCCTCCTGAGTGCACACGTGCGTTTGCGGCTCTGCATGGGGAGGGCAGTGGCCCCCGCAGCCCTGAGCGTAGATACCCCGCCAGGCGGCTGCCAGCCCCCCACCGCTTTGACAGGCATGCAGTGTGCTCTTGACTTCGCTGTCATCTGGGGGGGCCCAGCGGGCCCCACCCCTGCGCTTCAGAGGTGGAGGGCGCCAGGGGATCCTCATGCGGAGGGAAGTCCAGTCCCTGTGGGTGTGCCGCAGCCTTGGCCTCGCTGCCGCCCCACACTTCCCCGTGTCTGCCCAGGCTCGGCGCGGCCTCTGCCCGGAAGACAGAGATGCAGCCCTGAGCAGGGCTCGCTCGATGTGGCGCCTGAGTGAGCACATGTGCCTGGGGTGGGGGGGGCCGTGTCCAGCAAGGGGCGGCGGCCAGGGGGCCCGGGCCAGCAGCGCCGCTCACAGGTGGTGGCTGCTCTGTAGCAGGGAGGTGACGGTGCTCTGCAGGGCCACGGCCACCTTCTTGGAGGTCTTGCGCAGCAGCGGGCTGTCGGGGTGGTGCTCCTTCAGGTGCAGGACGTGGCCCTCCTGGCTCTCGGACGTGCAGCCGCACTCCTCGCACACGTACAGCTTGGCCCGCCGCTCCTTGTACGCGTACTTCTGCTGCACGCCGTGGATCTTCTTGAGATGAGACTCCAGGGAGCAGCGCTGCGTGAAGGCCTTGTCACACAGGCTGCATTTGTAGGGCCGCACGCCTGCGGGGACGGGAGGCCCGGTGTCAGGGACCTGACCAGGAGCCTGCTCACAGCTTCCGACTCAGAAGGGCCGGGCCACCTGACACTGGGGAGGAGGAGGGGAGGAGGCCTGGCCACCTCCGCCTTCCTGAGTGGCCTCCCTGGCGAGCTGAGGTGGACTCGGGGCCTGAGCTACGAGGCCACCCCGTCACTGAGGCGAGCGGGCATGGCCGCCGTCCCCCCACGTGGCCCCCGCCGGGCAGGGCCTGGGTGTGCTCGCTCCCCGCCAAGGGGCTCCTCTTACCCGTGTGGGTGCGGACGTGTCTCTTCAGGTCAAATGTGTCATTGAAGCCCTTCCCACAGTAGGTGCAGAGATGCCTCTTGACGTCATTGTGACACTTCATGTGGCGGTTCAGCATGCGCTGGTAGGTGAAGGCCTTCTGGCAGATGTGGCAGGTGAAGAGGTCACTGCTGGCACCGTCCCCCAGGGTCACCTGTGGGCAAGGACGGTGTGCGTGACAGATGACCGGGAGCCGGCCACGCCGGGAGGACACAAAGCCATCCCCTGGTCCCCCTGGGGAAGCTGTGCTGGTCCCCCACAGGCCACACCTCTGGGCCCCCGACCTGCCATGGTGGGGCTGGAGGGAACCTTTGGGTCACTGGTCGGGCCTCCTGTTGGGTCCCCAGGTCCCCTTTTGAGGTTGCCACACAGCCTGTTTACCTTCTCGAGAGCCGTGCAACTACCTGCAGAAACAGCTGGTTCATCATCACCTGTTAGAAAGGTCTCCCTCCACCGAGCTCCATGTTGCTCTACACTCCTGCCCCGTGGCCTCACTCCATGGGCGAATGTCCGCCACATGGGCTCTGCGGCAGCCCCCCTTGGCCGAGCCTGGACTCCCCCTGCTTTTACCCGAGCCAGGCCCGACACAGTAGGACTTGAGTCCCTCTACCTCCTCACCACCCTCTTGTTTATAAACCCTTTCCCTTTTCTTTCTTTTTCTTTTTTTGTAATTATGGAAAACCTCACACTTCAGATGCGGAGCTGAGTACCACTGTCTCACAGTGTTTTATCTTTCCCTTGGAAAATCTTTCCCAGCTGCTTGGCTGGCACAGGGAGACACGGTCTCCACCCCCCACCTCGGTTGCTGTCTGGAGGTGGCTCATGCTTTGTGGGCGGCCCAGCTGCTGGCACCCCTTCCCGAGCTCCCTGGGCCCTGGGTCACCCTATCTCCCTGCACCTCCTCCTCTCCCGCTTCTGGCACTGGGGCAATGCTGCCTGTTGCCAGTCGAGACCTTTTGGGTCACTCCTCTGCTGTCCTGGGCCCTCTGCTCTCTCTGCACAGCCCTCCCTACCCACCAGGGTCCAAGGGATGAGAGGAAGGCCCGCGAGGGCTCAGGGGCGCTGTGCCGGCCTCGGGCCGAGCACCCAGGACACGTGTGGGTGGTTCCTCTAGTTACAGCACATGCTTGGCCCACAGAGGAGAGAGAGGAGGGAACAGCATTCCACCACCAGCTTTCTTCAGTCCTTTGGCACAGAGAAGAAGGCTACAAGAACCCTTCTACTACATCACTGCTAGCAGGTGCTTCCAGATCCTAGAACTTTCAGGAACACAGGCCTAGCCAGGGCCAGCCCTGCTGTCTGCGCACTCCTTGAAAGCAGGGGGACACACGCCTTACTGTTCCCGCTGCTGAGCCCAGCTCCCCAGCTCTCGCCCCGGGTGGTGCGCCCGGGTAAGGTGGACACCGCCGGGCACAGGCCTCAAGTGGCAGTTAACCACCAGCTGGACTCCAGAGCTCACTCCAGACCAGGCACAGACGGGAACCCAGGAGAAGGCGCTGAGCCGAGCTCAGAAGTCTCCCCCTTCTCCTGGGACTTGCAAAGAGCTGGCTCCCCTTGAGGGCAGAAACAAAAGGAAGCAACCCCTGGAACAGACTCCAGAGGGCAGGATGTCTCGTGAACCCCCACTGCTGCTTCTCGATGCTTCTCGACGTGCAACACTGTCGCGTCAGACCTGCTGCTCTTCTTTTCCACCCCCACCTGTGCCCTGCCGGCTTCACTTCTCCGCAGAAGCCCGGACCCGGATCCAAGGCCAGCCTCTGCCTAGGTCTCACCTGTGCCACGTCTCGTAGGCCGGACGCCAGTCTACAGACACGCTCCTGGCCCTTGGAAACAGTGTGGGGGTCAGTACCTTCATTTTGGTGCGCAGGAAGCCGTGGTCTCTGCTCTGGGGGTCTCCCAAACGACTCATGTCATCAGAGGGCAGCTGGGCTACCACGCAGGGCGCCGGGGCCACACTGTAGCTGGAATCCCGAAGGCTCATGTCCAAAACCAGGGGGCAAGATGGGGGTTCAGCCACGGACGGCTCTGGCTCCCGATAGGGCTGAGGCGGGCAGAAGCCCAGACTGACTGGAGAGAAGGACAGCCAGGTGAGCGGCTGGGTGGGGGAAACAGGCCTCCGTGGGGTTTCGGAAGGCCACCTGGCTGCCCCTTGCAGGCACAGGGCAGAGCAGGGCTGCCCCCGGCCCGTACATGCCGCACCTCCCTCCTGCCCCATTAAGGTAATTGCAGGTGACGCCTGCCAAGCACCACAGCCCACAGGCCCGCCCGCTGAGTAATTTGTGTCTTAGCGGAACTGGGACCCAACCTGCCCTGCCAATTATCCCTCCAGAGTTGTCTGCCTGCCCCACCTGGGCCAGTCCCTCTGGATTCCAGGCCTCATCCACGCTCCAGTGTGGACAAGGGCCACCACCGGCGGCGGGGATTCCTCCCCGGCCCTGAAGGGTCCCTGGCGGCCTGGGCCACTCGGGGCTGCTTCTTCGGGCTGCCGGCCTTGTGGCGGGGGTGGGGAGGTCTGGGTGGTCCTCCAGGCTGGCTGGTGTCTGCTGTTGCCGCCCATCAGGGTTCTGGGCTCCCCGCTCCCACTGGCCAGGCTTGGCAGGCAAACAGGCCAGGTGAGGCGGCGCAGGGAGGAGGTCAGGGAGCAGCAGGTGGATGCGGCCTAACAGTCTCCTGGGCGGCCTGCCCGGCGGTTGCGCAAGCCTCCCCCACAGCAGGGACCGCTTGCTCGTGGCCCAGCGAGGGCCGGGCTCCCAACCACCGCCCTCCGAGGCGCCGATACCTGGCAGCCCTTTGACGCGGCCGCTCCTGCTCCCCACGGCAGACACCTCACGCTAAACGGGGCCAGAGAGGGTTGGCCCCGGTGCAGAGGAGAGAAGACCCGGTACGAGTCTGAAAGCCCACAGAGCTGGGGCAAACTAGCTAATGTTTCCCCTCAGCAGAATCTTTCTTCCCAAAAGGCTAAACTCTATACGGTTGACCCTTCAACAATGCAGGGGATAGGGATCCTGACCGCCCCCCCAATACAGTCAAAAATCCGAATAGAACTTTGGACTCCCCCAAAACTTCACTACTCCTAGCCCGGAAGCCTTAGCGGTAACAGAAACCGCTGACTAACGCACATTTCGGAGGTTACAAGTATTATAACGATAAAGTCAGCCAGAGGGAAAAAGTGTCAGTAAGAAAACCGTAAGAAAGAGAAAATGCGTGTACTGCCCTGAGCGGAAAAAATGCACCTGGAAGTGGGCCCGCGCGGTTCAACCCACATTGTTGTTCAAGGGTCAGGTGTGCTTCCAGCCCGTAAGCTAGGAACATTTTCCAGGCTTCAGATGGAAAAGTCAAGAGGGGCATAGGAAGGAAAGGACGAGGGTCTTCAGGGAGAAGGATTCAAGAGGCTGAGTCAGGGTCTCAGACCCACGCACGAGGCCCTCAGCGCCCTCTGGCCCACAGCCGGGGAGACAGAGAGGACCAGGCCCCAGGGAGGGGTGGTCCCAGGGCAGGAGGGCCGCTGCCCTCACGTCTTCTCCCGGGACACCGCAGGCGAGGCTGGCAGTGGAAGGCAGAGGAACGCGCCAGTGGAGGAAGGGTGAATATGAAAGCACCCAAGTTTCGGGAGAGGCCCTGGCTCTCGCCCCCTCAAAACACAACAAAGGTCTGACAGGGGAAGAATGCGCCCGCCTGCCGCCCAGAACCCGTTCTGCTGGCACTGGCGTCCGCCTGTCCAGGGGACTTTAATGAGCCACCTCATTCCGGGAGTTGATTCACCAGTGCCGGGCCCTGGCCGGGCCTCTGAGCTGGCGTGGCGCCTCTCCCTGAACGCCGGGAGGCTGGACGTCAGACCCGAGCTCTTGGGTCCCTCCGGCCTTCCCACAGCGACCGGCTGTCTGTGCGCCTGGGGCGGGGAGGGGGGGCGCCGGGAGAGGGCAGGGGCGCGTTTAGCACGCCCCTTCTGATGCAGGTGTACTAGCTACCAGAGATCTTGGCCAAGAACTCAAAGCTGAATGACAATTTCCATTTCTCAATCCAGGTGGAGACAAACAGGAACCTCTCCCCTCTTCTGTCTTTCGGTATCGGATGGCGCGAGTGAGGCTCCTGGAAGCTGGAGCCTGGCCACACCGCCTGCACAAGGAGCGGCAGAGGGTGAGGGCCAACCAGTCTGTGCTCCAAGCGAGCTGTCACTCTTGGTTCCCTTGCTCCACTGAGGGGGTGGCGGCCTTCGCCGCTAGGGTTCTAAGGTTCCAAGCCGGTTTGGGAGAAGACCTATTTCCTGCGCCCGCCTCTCCCATTCCGCAGAAGCCTTGCGGTGCTGGCTCTGGGGAACTGAGGACGGGGAGCGAGCCTGCCCGGTCTGGCCTCCGAGTTGCCTCTACCCCGAGCCAGGGGCAGGGGAGGCTGGCCGCACAGCCACACGGCTGCCAGGGAGGGGACGTTTGCCTCATCGCATCCACCCCGCCAAACCTGTCTTCCCGCCACCCCCGTGAGCATGCCCCTGCCGCTGCCGCACGCACAGAGAGTGCCCATGGCATGCCGCTCCTGTCATTGGGTGTCACTGGGTGGCCGGAGGCAGGAAGCAGAACTGGTCGGGCCCTGCTTGTGCTGCTCTCTGTCCCCTAATTAGACGTTTCCGGCAAGGCGGCGGCTGCGGCTACTCATCGCCCACCCACAGCTGTGGAGTATGGCGAGGCCCAACCCGCCCGGCCTTCTCCCTGCTCCCTCAGGGGTTCACGGGTTCCCCTTCTGTTGGCCCAGCTCGCCCCCACGGGGTGATGCTGCGGGACAGGCCCGGAGGTGTCCTCCCTCACCCCCAGCCAACCCCAGCTCTCTCAGACTGAAAGCTGCTGGCCTGATACTGGCCGGAGGGCCAGGTCCCACCCCAGGCAAGGCCTCAGGGCAGGGCTGGGCATGAGGCCCGGTGCCGGCTCCCCAAGGAGAGCAGGTAAAGCAGGTGTGAGGACCTGGCCTCTGTCCCCCCCGGGGGCCGGGGCTGGTGCTGACCTGGGCTGTGTGTGTCAGTCAGCTCTGAACGGGGAGGGACCGTGGGTCGGCGAGGCCCAGGCTGGCGTTATCAGGGTCCCCTGTGCCCGTCTCCCCCAGCCCCAGCAGGTCAGCTCGCGATGCCCGAAAGGCAGCGAGTGCCAGCCAACTGGCAGAGGCCAGGCAGCCCTGGAAACACGATGGGCCTGCTTCTCAGCCTGGTGTGTCCATTCTGTGAATGCCAAGGTTTTCTCTCAGGCAGTATCTTTCTTCCCCTTCCCTTTGCCTTTCATGCCGTGTCCACAGTGGAGTTAACGCTGAGCACCTCAGCCCTCGCACCGGGGCGGGCGGCCCTGAGCAACCATGAACTGTGCGGGCACGTGCGTCCTTCCCGCCCTTCTGGCCGGCGCACCCCTGCGGGGCTCCGCGCTTGCTGAAAGTGAACATCAGCAGTGGCCGCCCTTCGCTCGGGTCCTCCCTGGGCCCAGAGGCCTTGCCCTCAGCTGCTGTCTTTCTGGGACAAATGGTCTGGCGGGAGTGTGCCTCGGGGTGCCTCAGGCTGGAGCAAGCAGTTTGGTAGCCTGGGGGGAACAGCGCCCCATGGGACAGGCAGGAGCCCCATGGAGGCCACTGCCCAGGCCCACGTTGCTCTTCGGTCCCCAGCCATGTCTGGCTTTCTACGCTCCCTGCCTTGCTCCCCAGAGAGTATGACAGACACGGCCTTCCTCCGCCACCAGCACTTCCCAGGAATTACAAGAACGATCCTCATGGGAGGCCTAATCTCCCCCCACCGCCCACTCCCTCCCACCCCCACACATGTACTCTGGGGCCCAAAGATGACCGAGAAGCCCGTCCACCGCGGCTGGACAAAAAGCGGCCCGGGACCCCGCACGGCCTCGTCAGCGCCAGGCTCTCCCACCCCTCAGCCTGCCGCCTCCCTGGGACGGGCCTGGGCTGGCAAACTGGCAAGACAGACAACAGAGGGCCCAGTGTAGAGAAGGGGGGGGCCTGGAAGGGGCCCTGGGACGCCCACATCTGGGAGCACCTCATTTCAGCTTCTAGGCTGTTTCCAGGCTCATCTCTCCCCTCAAGTGCCTTCCTGGCTTTTCGTTGTTCCTCAGCAGGGGCCTGGAGGCCGGGGCCCCATCCCTGTGTCCCCAGCATCCCCTTCAGGGCAAGAGATGGAAAGTGGGCCCTGGGTGCAGGTGTGTGGGCTCCTCCTCACCTGGAGCACTGGCCCCAGCACGCTGGTGCTCACGCTGGAGAGCCGCCAGGGGAGGCGAGCGGGGTGGGAGTGAAGGGCTCGGGCCAGGCTCTGGGGCCCAAATAGGGAGCCGTCGATCACTCTTCTGCTATGACCTTTCAGCCCCATGTGCACACTTCTGGGCTTTTCCCTCAGCTTTGGAAGGAGAGTGAGGCCAGGGAGAGGTTCCGCCTTGGGGGCTGGGAACTTCTAGAATCGTGTCTCAGGGAGAGAGGCCGGAGTGCTGGTCAGACCGGAGCCTTGGGCCTTCAGTCAGTAAAAAACGGCTCCTTGCAGGCACTCTCTGATGCTTTCAGGGTCCCAGAGGGCCCTGGCAGGAAGGTCAGACCTCAAACTTGTCCCTGTTCCCCACCCCCCCACCCGGGGCCTCTCACAGTGGGAAGGGGGTCAATGGTTAGCTGGTCACAACGTGCTGAGTCTGTGAGGTGGGGTGAAGGAAACGTGCCCAGCCGGCTCCTGGGGTCATGGTCGGCTAGTGATGGAATGGCTCAGCCAGGGGATAGGCCACCACAAAACACACTCCCCACTCTCCAGCCATCTGAGGTACCCAAGCGTGGCCCCAGAACATTCCCTTTCTCATTTCCAAAACCTGTGGGAAAACTCTCTGGTGGGCCACATGGCTTGTAGAGGCAAATTAAGTGCTCTGCCTTCTACCCTCTGCTTCACCCCACAGGACTCTCCCTCTCCAGAACGATGAGAGCAGATTGTCACCTGGGCCCTCCAGGATTAGACCCCTACCCAACACCTGGGCCAGTCCTGCCGATCCGGTGCGAGGGGCCCGCACACCTCCTCACCTGGACAGCAGCAGGTGGCACGGACTACCCAGAAGCCCTCCTCCTCACCGGCTGGGACAGCCCTGGGGGGTAGAAGCCATCCCCCACCGCTCCCACTATGGCCACCAGGACCCGTCACCAGGTCCGTGGTGGGGAAAATCACCAGGATGCAAGGAAGTCAATGATTTGAGCGAACGGAATTTCTTTGTCCTTTGTAAAAGTCAACACATGATCAGTTACTGATTGGGATGTGAAATAAAACTAAAAATAACAGCACACCGAGTCTCCTGCAAGGCTCGGCTCACCTTTCACACAGTCCAAGTTCAGTTTATCAGATCCGAAGGAGCAGCTAAGCAGCAAGACAAACACAGGTGAGGGAGGAGGTAGGAGCGAAGAAGGGGGCTCCGTTCCTCCACCGGCCCTTCTGGGGGGCGAATGCCAGCGGGCCACCCGGCCAGGGCCGGAGACTCGGGCAGGCACGAAGCTATAAACAGCATCCGGGGCCCACACCCTAAGCCAGCTCAGGTGAGCCGGCAGCTCACTTGCCTTTGGTCTCAGTTTCCCCTGGTTTTAAGGAGGCTGTAGAAGCAGCTTTAAGATAAGGTTAAGCTGGGAAACATCCTCAGCGCCACAGGCCATTGGATCCTGGCAGATCAGGCCACAGAAATCTCACCGCTACACCCACTGTCTCCACCAATTTCTTCAGGAGAGAAACTGAGGCAAGAGCCCTCACAGGGCCCCTAGCCGCCCTCATTTCACCACTTTCCTACAAGGCCTGGGGCGGTGCCAGGGAGCCTGCAGATCAAGGGTCAAAGTCGGTTGGTTAATTACAACCTCTTCCCCCCCACCCCCCCCTTGGAGGCTCCCGGCAGGGTGTGGGGAGGGGGAGCTCGGAAGGAAGCTGGCTTTGTCCTGACCAAAGATTTTTCTTGGGGGTGGAGGAGGACAGAAGGCACGAAAATGTTCTCAGGGCTTCCAGACGGAGATGCCACTCGAGAAACAAATCGGGTTACTCATTCAAAGTTGACTCGGACGCTGTCAAGGCGTCTTCCAAACACAAGCTGGGTGCACGAGCCACCCGCCACCACCCCTCCCCCCGCCCCTGCCCCGGGGTCTGGTCCCCTGACTGTGGGATGGGCTCCTTAAGGTCACTTGCCACTCAAGTGTGTCCTCTGCAAGGCTGAAGGAGGCGCGTTTATAACAGCGGTGGGACCCGATCCCACCTTGGTCTTCAGGACAACCGGGGTGCAGCCGGGCGCCTGGCCCACGGTCACCGCGAACTCTGCCCGGAGGCCCCCCACGGCTGCCCGCCCCTCACCACGACCCTCCTGCCAGCAGAGAAGCGGCTTAAACTGCGTCTTCTCACATTTTGCACAAATTTCGGCAGAAACTCCAGCTCCCCCCGAAGTGGCATCGCTCCAGTGCCCTCCTCCCGCCTCATAAAAGTCCCGGCTTTCCGGATTTACGACGTGAGAGCGGAGGGTCGCCTGAGCGGTGACACACCCCGTTGCCTCCCTTGCGCCGCGGCTCGGGCCGGTGGAAGGGAGGGCGGCACCGCGCGGGACCGCGCGCCTCGGACCCAGCCGCCCCCAGGCCGGTGGCGGGGCCTGGGAACAGCCCTCGCCCCCTCTCGGCGGCCCCCGCCCGCGTTCCCACCCGGCGCCTCCGCCGCCGTCGCCCTGCCCTCCGCTCCCGTCCCCTCCCCCTGCGCCGCGGGCTAACGGAGCCGCGGCCGCTTAAACATTAAATCGGGCGCCCCGACTGCGCCGGCCGCCGGGCACCGCCTCGCTGCGCCCCACACGCCCGCCGCCTGGACGGCCCCCACCGCACCCCTCGGGCGCCCCGGGCTCCAGGGCGGCGGAGGGTTCGCGGCGGCGGAGCGGCGCCTCACCTGGCACGTAGATCTCGCCGCGCTCCTCGTCGGGGAGCTCGCTCCAGTTCCTCTTGCACGTGGAGACGCACGGCTTCTTCACCAGAAACGCGCGGGGCATTTTCGAACCCTGCTCGCCCGGCACCGTCCGCTTCCGTAACCAGAGCCGGGAGCCGTCCCGCCTCTGCCGGGCCGAGCCGGAGGCGGGGGAGGGGAGGGGGCCGTTCAGGCAAGGAGTCGCCCAAGCGCCGCGGCGTTCCGCGAGGTCACCGTGCCCGGGACGGCGCGCGCCGGTTTCCGACTCCGCGGGGCCGTCGCCGCCCTGCCTCGAACGGAGGCCCTCGCGGCCAGGTGCACGGGGCGGCGGGCGCAGCGGCAGGTAAGCTTCTCCCGGATCGACTGGCGTCCCCCGCGGCCGCTCGGGAAGTCTTAAAGTGCGAGCCGGACGGACGGGTTCACGCTTTATTGGCTCGCGGCGGTGTGTGTTGGTGGCTGGGGCGGGGTGGGGGGGGGGTGATCTGAGCTAATTAGCTTGGAGTGTCCTGGGTAGCGACGGCGCATGCGTTGGGAAATAACGGTGACAACCCACCTATTTGTTACCTGTCGAACCGGTTTCCATTCCGCTGCGGGTGAGGTGGCCTCGCGGCCTGGGCGGGGTGGCCGGGCGGGGGCGGCTGGTGGCGGGGGTTGGGGGGGCGGCGTAGGGCCCCCAGCACCCGGCCTTCCCGCCGGCCGGGCCGCCGTCCTCCAGGGACCTCCCAGCCAGGAGCGCTAGCGTTCGCAGACGGAAGCTTCGGAGGAGTTTCGGGGGGAGCAGAGGAGGGGCGGTGGCAACGTTATTTGCACCCGCGCTCGCACGCTCTGCGGGTGATGAAATGAAACTCGCCCAACGGGCCCGGCCCGGCGCTGCCCGGCGCCTGGGGAGGCGCGAAGCCGTCGGGCGGGAACGGGCGCCCCTGCCCACACTTGTTGAACCGGGCTCGGGCCCAGGCGGCCCGGATCCGAAGGCCTGGCTGAGCAATCCGTGGTTCAGCCCAGAGGTATTCGCTGGGCTCCGGCTCCGTGCAGGAAGGCACGCGAGGCCTGAGTAGCGCGTTAGCCCGCAGGCGGGCGTGTGGGGAGGACGCGGCCGCCGTGCAAAGCGGAGAGTGCCCGGCTGATCACTGGCCAGAGCCGGCTTTCTGGCCAGCGAAGTGTGGAAGGCTTCGTGGAGGAAGGGGTATTTACACCGCTCTCCGTCCACCGAGATCCGGAAGGACCCCAGCACCTTAGTCATTGGGTCTCACACTCCCTCGGACACCCTCATCCTTGTCCCAACTGGCCAGATTTCAGTGCAGAGGCCGAGGCCCTCTGAAGAAGTCAGACCCAATCTACTTTGCCTGGCTGTAGCCACTGCAGGCGGGGGGCTTCTGTCTGCTTCCCCCCATAACCCACCCTTGGCTGAGGTTCAGCCTGGGGCACACCCCCCACCACCATCCATCATGCTCTGCCCAGTCCCCAGGCTTAGCTGGAGGGAAGCCCACCCTCAGAGCCCTTGTTGGCTAGTTGCCTTGGTGTTAACTGTGGCGCTTTGGCCCCCAGCCATGGCTGGGCTACTCCAGTCACTAAGGTCAAGAATGGGACTCCTGGGGCACCTGGGTGGCTCAGTCGGTTGAGCGACCGACTTCAGCTCAGGTCATGATCTCATGGTTCGTGGGTTCAAGCCCCGCGTCGGACTCTGTGCTGATAGCTCAGAGCCTGGAGCCTGTTTCAGATTCTGTGTCTCCCTCTCTCTGACCCTCCCCTGCTCATGCTGTCTGTCTTTCTCTCAGAAATAAATAAAAAATATTAAAACAAACAAACAAAAAAAAGAATGGGAGCCCTTCCTCTTTTTAGCTCTCCTCCTACCCCCATATAAAATAAACTTTTCAGAACCTCTATCACAAATACACCTTTCTCACATATTAAATGTTTGCTGGAACAGGTTAAGAGGAAATGAGTCTGAGAAATGAGTTCACTCTATTCTAAAGCCAGGAGTCTGAGAGGAGCAGACCGCTGATGCCCGACTTCTGGGCAGGCCCTGCCCATGGCCCACCGCCCCCCCCATCCCCCAGGACTTCCTGGGAGCACCCCCAGGATGAGTGGGGAGACTCAGGGCCAGATGGGCCCCCTCCTTCACTTCCTCCTGGGGCCTGTGAGTTTGTCCAAGGGGCCTTCCTTTCCCTGCCTGTTTCCTAGTCTATCACCTGAGAATCCTGTCACCTACCTCCTGGGGTCACTGTGGGCTCTGGCCGCCAGCCCGCCAGCCCGGCCCTGCGCCTTCCCCCCTCCTCCTCAGGGCTCAGCCCAATCGTACTTGGAGAGTCCTCCCCTCTTACCTGCACCCGTCTGTTCAAGTGACATGACGTGAGTACCTACTGTGCACTTAAGCTTTTGAATAAATCCTGGAGAAACACCATGGACCAATACTGTCTAGGAGGTAAATTTATAGTTAATTCAACAAATATTTGTTGAGCATTTCGGTTGGTGCCAGACCCTGACCAGGACTCGTTACCCAGTGGGTGCTTCGTGGTAACTATGATGAAGTCTTCGCAGATGACCTTGGATTCAAGAAGCACGGTCTTTCTTTCTTTCTTTCTTTCTTTCTTTCTTTCTTTCTTTCTTTCTTTCTTTCTTTCTTTCTTTCTTTCTTTCATGTTTTTATTTATTTATTTATTTCTAAAAATATTTTTATTTATTTCTAGGAGAGAGAGGGAGACACCGTGAGCAGGGCAGGGTCAGAGAGAGAGGGAGATACAGACTCTGAAACAGGCTCCAGGCTCTGAGCTGGCAGTCAGCACGGAGCCCGACGCGGGGCTTGAACCCACGAACCGCGAGATCATGACCTAAGCGAAAGTCGGATGCTTAACCGACTAAGCCACCCAGGTGCCCCTGTTTTTATTTATTTCTGAGAGACAGAGAGAGATAGCATGAGCAAGGGAGGGTCAGAGAGAGAGGGAGACACAGAATCTGAAGCAGGCTCCAGGCTCTGAACTAGCTGTCAGCACAGAGCCCGACGCGGGGCTCGAACCCACGAACCGTGAGATCATAACCTGAGCTGAAGTCGGATGCTTAACTGACTGAGCCACCCAGGCACCCCAAGAAGCACAGTCTTTCTTGTGCAAGGCGGGGGGAGTGAGGAACAAGTCAAGTGTCTCCACTTGTGGGAAGAATGTTATGCAGTGTATGGAACGAGGCCCTGGGGAAGGAGGCATATTCACCCAGGCTTTCCCCTGCCCTATCTACAACTGTTCCTGGCACATAGTGGATTATCAATAAATATTTGTTGAGTGAATGATTATCTGTTTTTCTTGACTCATGTGACCCATTCAGCCTGTCGCGTTCCAACTCTTGGTAGAGGCATGGATATAGAGCAAATGTTGTATAAGGAAAGCAATGGGACCGGTTCAGCGATAAAAGGCTGTCAGGGAGAGATCGAGAGTGGTGGGGACAGTGGAGAATGTGCCTGTCTGAAAGGTGCAGTAGCAATCATGTTATTTGAACAGAGACACCCAGTGTGGCTACATCTGTCTGTTTTCTGAAAAGAAGCCCCCCCCCCAAAAAAATCCAGATTTGTATGTGAAATATACCAATTAAAAACAAAAATTTTTTTAACATTTTTTATTTATTATTGAGAGACAGAGAGAGACAGAGCATGAACATGGGAGGGGCAGAGAGAGAGGGAGACACAATCCAAAGCAGGCGCCAGGCTCTGAGCTGTCAGCCCAGAGCCCAACGCGGGGCCCAACTCACAAACGGTGAGATCATGATTTGACCGGAAGTCGGACGCCTAACCGACCGAGCGACCCACGCGCCCCAAAATATACCAACTAAAAAAATTGTTTTTAATGTTTATTATTTTTGAGAGAGAAAGAGCACATGTGCACAAGCAGGGGAGGGGCAGAGAGAGGGAGACGCAGAATCGGAAGCAGGCTCCAAGCGGTCAGCGCAGAGCCTGACGTGGGCTCCAACCCGCAAACCGTGAGATCGTGACCTGAGCTGAAGTCGCATGCGCAACCAATTGAGCCCCCCAGGCACCCCGAAATGTACCAGTTTTTAAAAGCTGGCTCAAATTCTTTAAAACCACGGAAAGAGCCAAACACAATGCCTTTGTGGGGCCGATTGGGGCCACAAGCTGCTGGTGTGTTGCCTGTGGTTTTGCAAGCAGTCCTGGAACCAGACAGTGTGTGTGAACTTGGACGAATACCAGGCTAACCTGCGAGCTCCGTGAGGGTAGGCACCTTCCACTCTGGTCACACAGCATCCGTTAGAGATCATCCATTCGATCCTTAAGTCAATCAACAAATACTTCCTGAACACCCACCATTTGCAGGGCACCGGCGATTCTGTGACGCGAGGCAGACAGAATACTAAGGAAACTGAGTGGAACGTGTGACTTCAGTGATGGAATAGTGACCGGCCGGGGGTGCTGAGATCTAACCAAGAGCCATGCAGAGCGGGGAAGAGCCTGGTGGCTGGTGCAAAGGCCTCAGGGTGGGAGTGAGCCTAGAGCATGTGA